TTAAAGCTGAAATTCTTCAATATAATTATTGATATTCTTATTTTTACTCGTTTATTCTTATGTCATAAACTTGAATCTTAAATACTTCGATTACAATAGCTAAATTAATATACAATATACCAGGGTTTGTAATCCTTAATCACCTTATACTCACCATACCTTTAATAAATTTAACTGTTTACGCATGTTATTTTCTTCCATTGAATGGCTATGATCAGAGATACTACTTGTCTACAAATTTATTTTATTTATTTATTTTTTTATAAAAAAAAAAAAGACATATTACAATGTTTAAAAAATACATTAACTTACTTTTACCTTTCCAATCCTAATTCTAGCTTTATGATCAATAGTGGGCCTTTTCTAGATTATACGAAGCTTTTCAAAAGAAAGATTTTTTTTCTTCCACTTGATTCCTTTGGCTTTGAAAATCTATAACCGAAAGGTTTATATTCATCACCATTAACCAACTTATACCTATCAAATATTATTAACAAGAGTTCACCGCTTATTGAAGTCTTTAATAGAAAACCGAAATGTTTCATTTACGCTAAAAAAGCATTCTCAGAAGGTTAACATTGCCGGGGCAGTGATTGCAAGGTTTTTTTTCATTTACAGTTTGTTACAAGGGGGTTTTTTTTAATAGCAGGATTTAGCCAGAATTTGCTTTTTTGCTATTTGCAGGATGCGCGAATAGCTAAGTTAGATTCGTTGCTCAAAGATTTATTATTACATAGTTTTCAAGTCCGATTTTTTTTATTATTATGATTACTAGCTTGTCACGGGTTTCAACAAATCGAATCACGAATACCAGCTTCATGCCATTGCTTCGTGATAAGTGGATACACGACAGAGAAAGCGAATATTAAAATAAAATAATAACAATAAAAAAAAATCAAATTTATATCGGTCAACTAATTTTGTATAGGATGCGTTGATTGGCTGCGTTGATTAGATGATCAATTGACTGTATGACTCTCCTGGACCATCGATTTAATAGTTACTCTGCTTTAGTGAACCCTATAAAAGAGCTGTTCTTTTACGAATTGATTATTAAAATTATCTTGCACATCCATATTATAAGTTGAAAGGGGCAATTCGACATAATTTACTTACTCATTATTGCCCAAAACACTCATGTTCATTTAGAGCATCACTACGTTTGTTTTGAGGAATCTAGCGAATATTGATTAACTTTATACTAAACCGTGCTGCCTCCATAATGTTTAGAAGATGAAAATAATACCGACAAACGAGCCCAAGTTTTTGTTGCAATAAGCAGGTACAACAATAAGATCCATCTGCAAGACAAAAAATCACATGATTTACATTGCGTCCAGTAATTCGAGAAATCTTCCAAACTTCTACAATACTATAATAGTGCAATTGATGCAAAAGAAATCGTGCACATGCAAGAACACTATCTGGTTTATCTTCAAACCTTTCACTTTCAGACGGTTCATCTGTAGACATATGTTCAATTTCTTCGATATTAGATGGGCATGCTATGTAATATACACATTTCTTCATTTGACCGATTATATACTGTGCAACTTTCAGATGCAGATAATGTGTAACAACTGATTCTATTGCTAGAAAAATTGTTACACGATTCATAGTCAAAGGAACACTAATGCTAATTAATTCTTCATATTGTTTCTTACTTGCTTTATCTTCAACATGATTCATAAGAACTTTTCCAAGATCACAAAGAGACGTATTACTGCTTTCAAGAAGGTGTTTAATGCATGCATTTTCACTCTCAACAAACGAAGTTGATTCAATCCCCAAAGTGAACAATGTCACCATAAATCTTCTTGCCCAAGATTTTTGTCATCCAAATTAAAATTTTACTAAGAAACTCATTTTTTATCTTCGACTCTTCTAATGAGACAAGAACCTTAAGGTTCAGAAAGCACAAACTTATTACTCTAGAAATGGGTAAGCAACCAAATAACAAGAAGCCTAGGCTTTCTTCAAACAACGACAAAATTTTCAACTTTACAAAAGTTGAAGAAAACAAAGAAAATATCGAAAAACTAGACAACAGCAGTAACAATAGCAACAACAGCTCTAAGTTAAAAACAAATATATCATTGAATATGGATCTCAATAAGTTTAACACAAGCTGGGCTAATCAAGTGGAAGAAGAACAAGAAAGTACAGAAGAAAACAAAAACAAAAATAAAAATTCTTGCAAACAACAAGAAATATATGCTAGCTCTTCAGATACAACAAATCACGTAAATACAACAAAGGAGGTAAACAATAAACAAAAATATGTAAATTCAACATGTGACGATGCACAAACAACAGATCTTGACAGGCCTGGTTCCCAGATAGGATATCTGGCATACTCAAAAAAATTGGCATACCATGTGGCATGCCATCTATCCAAATCTGTGCCATGGCATGCCAGTGGTATACCACCCGTGTAACATTGGGTGGCATGCCAAAAAAATTGGCATGCCATGGCATGCAACCCATGTTACATGCATAATTATACATGTACGATATTAATAACCTTTTCAACTGTTAATACATACTAACTCTTTTTAATTTATTGCAATTTTTTTAATAAACATGATAGGAATGATAATATTAATACAAGCTCAAGATTGAGATCCATATTTAATAAAGCCGACTTAAATCTGCTCTTGTACATGTATATCAGGAAATGATCGTGCAAAGTAAAGATTGTACCTGGGTAGACATTTCTATTATGTCTATAATAAATAACTGGGTAATTTAATAGTACCCAGATACCAATCTCTAGTGCAAAGATTCTAATTCTAACGGCCATAATAAAAATAATAGTGGTGTGCCTCAAAAGTATAACTACGTACAAGACAATGATAATATTATTAGGATGTAAGAGGAAAAAACTTTTGATTCGAATCTTTATTTAATTTACTGCCATATATACTAATTACAATTTTATTAAGCTTCAGATTGAAAAAATATGTCATCAATTGACCAATCCTTAGTGCTACTAGACTTTTGAATATAAGTCATTGAATTTGAATCTTCGTCGATGATTTCTTGATCTTGCTTGAAAGTACTAACATCAAAAAACTCTTCTATTGCTAGCTCCTCATCGTCCATAGCAACACTTACTACTTCAATATCAAATTCTAAAGATTCCTCAAATGGTTCATCTTCAAACAAAAGATCAATATTAAGATTTTCAGTATTCGTTGCATCTGTAAGATTTGTGGATGAAATTTGATTTTGGGGGGTTTTTTTTAGTGATTCAGGTAGCTTTTGTTGAAAATCATGGTAAAGCATTCCAAGCATTTTCATCAAATCAGTAGATATTTTGTTTCGGGACTTTGGCTTTACTAATCCCAAGCTGGAAAATAGTTGTTCAACAGCTGCCGCGTGCGGAACAATCGAGAAAACCTTTATAGCAAATCGTCAAAGCAGAGGAGAACCTCCAGAAAACTGTGCCCAGAAAGTTCTAGGATTGATATCCTTAATATTTTTGTAATCAAAAGGTGCATCACCATTTTGATAATTGACAAGCTCTTTAGACAAAAGAATAGCATCTTTTTTATTGAAGTCCCAAGCCTTAGCTAATTCCAAAGAAGCCCTAATGATTGAATTACCAGACATTTTTTTTGACATTGCGATTTGCTTGTAGTATGGGGACAAAAAAAGAGCAACAAAATAAATACTATCAGAAAACTCGTGGGCTCGTTTGTTGATAGCTGCTAATGCATGATTTTTAAATCCATCAATTGAAACATTTGCTCTTGAGATAGTATAATGAATATTTATTAGTTCCTTAAAGATATCAGCTAATGTAGTTTGTTTTGATTCAAGGCGACCAATAGCGTCTACGACAGGAATAAGCATTGTCAC